TTCCCTAGTTTTCTTTTTCTTTTTTGACAAATTTGTTTCATTTCCTAGAGGTATTTCAATCAAAGTAACAAAGTTTTATTTTCCTTTTTAAGATAAAGGTCAAACTATTATTTTTATTTTGCACAAATCATGCAGAAACATTAGGAAATAAAAATAGGAAATTCATACATACTGTCTACCAATAGCTCTCTCTTTAAAAGAAAAATTTGCTTTGGATACATGTGCTCATCAGAGAGAGACAGAGAGAAGGAAAGTGAGAAAGTACCCCCCAGGAGGATGCCATGCTGCAATCCCTTCTCTTTTATTCTCCTCTCAGGATTTTAGGCATGCACGCACATGCGCCCGGCATGTTCCTCAAGCCACCGGGTCCAGGGCTCAATCTGTGCAGCTAACCACGTGGGATCCAGCCATTTTAACCACCACCAGTGGCTGGCCTGCTCTCTATATACATATACTATGCTTAAGTTATATACAATGTATATAGTATTATATAAACATACAGTTATACATACATCTACTTATTTATTACAAAAAATATTTGGTATGTATACATATTTTTTTCCTTTTCTATTTCTTGTTTTATTTACTTGCTTCATGAGTGAGGACAGAGAGACAGAGATACAGCACCCCAACAGGGTCCTGATGCTGCGACCTACTGCCAGGTTCCTCCAGCTACGGATGGTGGCCCCACACAGGCATGTCCCGGGAACCCAGGGAGGTCTCCAGACATGAGGCTTCCCGTGTGGACCAGCCTCCTCGAGAGTCATGTTTCCGCTGAGCCACTGCCCACCCCATTTTGTTCCTTTTCTAACAAGTTTTTTCCCACATCAGGGACTCTGAATCCATTCAAGTTCTTTCTTCACAAACAAGCCCCTAGACCCCCAGTGCTACCCGCTTAAGCTCCCGAGCATGGCCAAGAGCCTGCAGCACCCCCCTGCCCTCTGCTCCTCTTTCCCCACCGTCTCATCAGTTCTGGGGCTGTCATCCCAGCAGCCTTTGCTTGAGATGATGAAATGGTCCACATTCCCTTGCTCAGCCGAGCAAGGTAATTATTTATTAAATTTTATTTATTCATTCATTTATTTTTAATTTGACAGAGAGAGAGACAAAGAAGGGAAGTGAGACACCAGGTCCAGGACTCGAACCATGATCAGTCATGTGGGAGTCTAGCGCCTTAACCACCATGCCACCTGCTGGTCCAAACCATTTTTTCTGGGATGTAGGAAGTACCCAAATGGCTGACCCTTATTTGAGATGGATTTCGCTGGAGATGTCTGCGATCCGCCTCCCGCTCTGGCAGGCCGCCCTTGGGCAGAGCTCCTCCTTCCCTGTCCAGCACTGGAGAGGGAGGTCAGGGTCTCAGACACTTGATGAGGGCCCCAGCCTACCCGCTCCCTGTCACCACAGAAAGAAGGGCCCAAGTGTCAGTGCCCATGGCCACACCTGTGGCCTTCATATGGCGCTGACCAGACAGGTGACGTGGGGTGTCTGTTCTCTGAAGCATTCAGATCCCATTGGGGACTGGAATATGTCGGGCCGTTCACAGTTGGTGAGTGGTGTCTTCTGTAACAGAGAGCTCAGGTCAGGTTAGGCTCCCCAAGCAGGACCCTGCTCTGCACAGGCGGAGAACTCAGAACCAGCACCTTGGTGACTTGTCCGGAGGGACACCGAATGATGCAGCTGGAACTATGAAAGGGGGCATGGGAGGCAGTTCCATTCTTCTAGATTCAACATGACTCTTAAGTCTAGACAAACCCTAAGGCTTTTCTCAGTACGAATCTGTCCCGACCCGCAGGACAGACGAACAGGTTTCCTGAGGGAAGGAGTGAGAGACGAGAGGAACAGCACAGAGACGACACAGTGTTATAACTCGTCAGGATCGTCCATTTATTATGGGCCAAGGATCATGGTTATATACGTGGTGGGCCATGATTGGTTGCCTTATATGATAATGAAGGATTGTAGATTGACCAATCATAAGGTGCTGAATATGCAAATCTGAGGGATTCTAGGTTCACCAATCGGTGAGTGCCATGGGTTTGTAGCCAATCAGAGTGTGGTCTTGAAGGGGAGCCAATTGTGGTTTTTGGCGTTGTATGATTGTTTGCTCGCTGAGAAATCGAAACCTAAAGGTTTCCTTAAAATGGTGATAGTATAAGACTCATAAAATGGCCTCGGCGGACTCGCTGATGTGCAGTTTCCCACACGAATCCTGTTTCGTCTTTTTTGTAAAAGACCTCTTGGGATTTATAAACACAGACCCAATCTTGGTTTTCAAACCACAGGGGAGTTGCCTCCATCACAGACCGCTCTTGGCCAGACTCTGGCTCCTTCTGGCTGAAGATGACGCCTTTCGGCTTCAGGAGGGTCCTGAACTGGCTGAAGGAGGAGTACAACAACCCTCCAATTTACGTGACAGAGAATGGAGTGTCCCAGAGGGAAGAAGTAGACCTCAACGACACTGCGAGGATCTACTACCTCCGCAGTTACATCAACGAGGCCCTCAAAGGTATGGCGGGCCCCCCCGTCCTCCATCCTCTGGGTGCATCTTCCACAGGTGTTAACCCCCGCCAGCACTGCAGGGGTGGAGCCACGCCCCTGGGCCAGGAAGAGGGCGAAAGCACCTTGCTCCCATTGGGGTTAAGCCCGGCCTTGGGGCCACACTCTGAGTTCATCCCTTCCTAGTTACCAGACACCAGCAGGACTTTGGTTCCTGGCCTGAGCCACCTACTTTCTTTGATCCCTCTGATCCCTCCCTTTGAATGGCAGAGGGCAGACTGCACAGGGGCCAGCTGGGCGGCTGTCTGTGGGGACTTTGGTTCCTTGAGCAGAAGTTCGAGACCCTCTGCTCAGCCCTAACAACTTGGGCTGGGACTGAGATTATGGAACAGAGTGATGCTGAGTGAAAGGGAATAAGCCAGCAGTAGCTATCAGAAAACCCTATCCAGGTCAAGCCTTTTCCCTCTAAGAGCTACTTCTGTTCTACAGGAAGGAGCATGCACAGTTTAAGGTGCTGACCAAGACGCGCAGACAGGGCTGTAGACCCGGTGATTCGCTGAGCCCACATTCCCAACTCCCTTTCAGGGCTGACTCTTTCTGGAAAGATGCTGCTGGGGGGCCCCTTCCACAGAGGAGCCGCTGACCGGGGCTGTATGTGCAGCACAGGGAGGGGCAGTGGGGAGCTGCAGGCAGGCCTGGTTTCCGAGCCTGGCAGGAAGGTGCTTCTGAGATGAGGGGCGCTCATGCTTGGGCTTGCGTTTGGGCAGCTGTGCAGGACAAGGTGGACCTGCGAGGATACACGGTTTGGACTCTGATGGACAACTTCGAGTGGGCCACAGGCTTTGCAGAGAGGTTTGGCCTCCATTTTGTGAACTACTCTGACCCGTCCCTGCCAAGGATCCCCAAAGCCTCAGCCAGCTTCTATGCCTCTGTGGCCCGGTGCAATGGCTTTCCTGACCCCGCCACAGGCCCGCACCCTTGTCTCCAGCAGCCGGAAGGTATGATATGGCTCTGGGAGGCACTAAAGCCAAAGGGCGGGGGTGGGAGGAAGGGCTTCTTCAGCCTGTTTCTTCTCGGCGACCACCCCTCTCTGCCTCCCTGTCCCCTTCCACCGCTGTTCACTTCCTTTGCTCCAGACATCCTTGGGATGGGACAAAGGACTCTTAGGATTCATGTTGACCCAGAAACTAGAGCCCTCAGTCTGGGAAGGAGCAGGTCTAGATTATTTTTCCTGACCTCACCTGCTGTGTGGCCTTAGGCAAGAGAGGCAAATGCTCCCAGGCAGTCACAGGACCAGAGGGCTGGAAGCCCAGTGCCTGCACGCTGTGGGTGCTCGTCGTTCGCCAGTCACTGAAAAAGCTCGAATTACTACACAGATGGAAAGGGTGATGATCCCACTTAGATCATTTTCTAATTGCTCACAGAGATGTTTAGAAAATGAAACAGCTGGGACCAGCAGCTGGCGTAATGGCTATGTCGCTGGACTCCCACGTAGTCGACTGCGGTTCGAGTCCCAGGCCCGGTGACTTAAACTCATGTCGGGTGTGTGTGCGTGTGTGCCCAAGATCCTGAGAGGAGAAAGGAGAAGGGATTGCGGCATGGCCATCCCCCCTGGGGGGTGATTTCTCGCTTTCTGTCTCTCTGTCTCTCTCTCTCTGTCTGGTGAGTGCACGCGCCCTATAGCAAAAACCTCTCCAAAAAAAAAAGAAGAAAAAGAAACTGCTGGTCCAGCCCCCAGCCAGTGGTTAAGGGGCTTGGAAACCATATGACCAACCATGGTTCAAATAGGGATTGCGGCATGGCCATCCCCCCTGGGGGGTGATTTCTCGCTTTCTGTCTCTCTGTCTCTCTCTCTCTGTCTGGTGAGTGCACGCGCCCTATAGCAAAAACCTCTCCAAAAAAAAAAGAAGAAAAAGAAACTGCTGGTCCAGCCCCCAGCCAGTGGTTAAGGGGCTTGGAAACCATATGACCAACCATGGTTCAAATCCCAGCTCTGGGACCAGCAGTTAGCATAATGGCTATGTCGCTAGACTCCCACGTAGTCAACCGCGGTTCAAGTCCCGGACCCAGTGGCTTAAACTCACGCCGGGCGCGTGTGCATGCGTGCCCAAGATCCCGAGAGGAAAATGGAGAAGGGATTGCAGCGTGGCCATCCCCTCTGGGGGGTGACTTCCTGCTTTCTGTCTCTCTGTCTCTGTCTGTCTGGCGAGTGTGCACGCCCTATAGCAAAAATCAAAAAAAAAAAAAAAAAAAACCCCAGCTCCAGTGGCTTGAAAAGCATGCCAGGTACACGTGCATGTATGCGTCAAAATTCTGACAGTGGGGAGAAATGAAGAAAGAATTGCACCATGATCATGTCCCATTGGGGAGTACTTCCTCCCTCTCTCTCTCTCTTCCCCTCTGGGGAACACATGCCCTCTCTAGAAAGTAAGAAAAAAACTGCCTACGGACCAGCAGTTAGCATTATGTCTATGTCACTGGACTCCCATGTAGTCTATCACAGTTCAAGTCCCAGACCTGGTGGCTTAAACTCACGCCGGGCGCGTGTGCATGCGTGCCCAAGATCCCGAGAGGAGAATGGAGGAGAAGGGATTGTGGCATGGCCATACCCCCTGGGGTAATTTCTCGCTTTCTGTCTCTTTCTGGCAAGTGCACGTACCCTATAGCAAAAAAAACTCTCCCTATCCCCCCCCCAAAAAAAAGAAAAAGAAAAAACTGCCTAACCTCAAGCAGAGGCTCCTCACACACAGTGAAGGGGGTGGGACTGCTGGCCACAGCAATGCGCTCACACTGGCTGTGCAGATTTGGGGTGCAGGGCAGTCTCTGGACCTGAGGACCCAGTGTGGGCCTAGGCTCGGGCCGCACAGCTCTGATGACCAGCTCAGCTCTAGATTCTGAGCCATGCTCTGTTGTCTTCTAGGTGCCGGGCCCACCATTGGCCCTGAGAGGCAGGAGGAGGTGCACTTCCTGGGGCTACGGCTGGACCCAACCGCCGCGGGAACAGCTTTATACATCCTCTTGTCTCTCTTGCTCCTTGGAGTCTGTGGCTTGGCCTTTCTGTCCTACAAATACTGCCGGCGCTCCAAGCAAGGGGCAGCACAGAGCCAACAGGAGCTGAGCCCCGTCTCTTCATTCTGACAAGTTACCGCCCCTGCAGCCTGGCGAAGCAGGCCGTTTCTTCTACACCTTTGCTGGCCACGGGATTCCTTAGGGCCTTGTGTTCTGTGCACACTGGGGTTCTGCAGAGGCCTGAGTGCCGTTAGAGAACTTCCATATTGAAGGATTTCCAGTTTTTGATTAAAATGGGAACTCCCATCTTGCCCACGCCAGGAGCTCACCTGGGCATTAGAGGAGCCTGCAGGTAGTGACGTGTGTGCAGACCTTGGCCCAGTGACCCTGAGACCCACTTCACAACTTGCCCAGCTGTTCTAAGTCCCAGTTTTTAAAGGTAGGATCATGAGTGAAAACCAGAGAGCCTTTTTATAAGAAACCAAGTCTGCTGTGTTGACAGCCTGCAGCGTTCTCTCAAGTGCCCTGTGGTCTCACACCATTTCTCAGGAAGTCAGACTGAACTGCGTCCTCTCCAGTGGTTGCCTCCCCCTTGAGAAAGTAGGTTCGACACCCCGTGGGGATCCGGCAGTGGGAGCGCCCAGGCTCTAACAGGGTGGAGGGCTGGAGGGAGGGGACTGAGGTGTCTCTATCCCACCCCCGTCACTTCTGTGTACACGCACTGTATCATGAACACAGAAAAAAAATAAAATATTGAAAGGGTTGTGCTTGCAGTCTTGTTTCTTTTAAGCGTTCTTACCTGCACTGCTACATATATTAAAGCTTCCAAGCAAAACACTCCACCACCCTGAACCCAGCCTGGCAGTCCTGAACTTGAGATGCAGAAGCATGCTTCATCAACAGGAAAAGCCTGTCGGATGGAGTGGGGGTGGGGACGGTTCTAAAGCTGTATTAGACATTCCTTGGGCGGAAAAACTTAGTATCATAAGTTGTCATTTTACCTAAATTAATCTCAAAATTCAATATAATTTTTTTGGGGGGAGACACTAAGAAAATTATATAAAGTTTCACATATTAAAAGAACTTGTGGGACCAGCAGTTAGCGTAATGGCTATGTCATTGGGCTCCCATGTAGTCGACCGCGGTTCGAGTCCTGAACCCGGTGGCTTAAACTCACACCAGACGTATGTGTGTTTGTGCCCAAGATCCCAAGAGGAAAATGGAGGAATTGTGGCATGGCCATCTCCCCTGGGAGGTGATTTTTCGTTTTGTCTCTCTCTCTCTGTTTTTCTGGTGAGCGCATGTGCCCTGTAGCAAAAACCTCTCCAAGAAAAAAAAAAAACTTGTAATAGCCAGGACAATTCTGAGGGAAAAAATATTAAAGTAAAGTATAAAGCCAGCTATTGAAGTCACAAGGTAGCAGAGAAGAAATAAAAAGATAAAGGAAGAGAGCGTTTAGACAGGGACCCAACTTCCCAGGGAACAGAACATGAGGCGCCAGCAGCTGCCGATGAGTGGAAAGATGGCGGTCGTCAGTCACACGATGAAAACATCTGAGGATGTCAGCCACTGGTACAGGAGGGAGCAGGAGCCTTCCTTGGATGCCAGACTTAAACACAAAAAAGACAACAATGAAAATACTAGGACACAATATACTTTTAAAGCACAGAAGGTTATCAGGAGCAAGATCCAAGACCCAGAAGCCATTTTAAAAGCCAATAAACTTGATCACATGAATTTTGTGGCAAAGAAATTACTTACTGAAAGATAAACAGAGAAAGTATTTACAACATAGACCAGCAAAGGACTAATTTTATTGATGTACATGGAATTCTTACAATGAGAAAAATATGGAAAAAAGACTGGCAAATATAAACAATTCGCGAAATGTCAAAATGACCAATAGCAAAAGATGCTCAACTTTGTTAGCATACAGATTTTCCTCTATCATGTTGACAGAGATGAAAAAGTGCAACAGTGCTGGCCAGAGTGTGGGGAAATCGACTTTATCATGCACTATTGGTGGGGGTTCAAATTGAGAAAGCCTTTAGAGGAGCCAATCCGACAGCACTGCTCATAATCCAAACTGCAATCTCACAATCCAAACTGCAGTCTCACTTGGACTTAGCTGGGTTTTTTATTTTTATTTTTTAAAGAGATATTTGCTATAGGGTGTGTGTGCTGATCAGAGAGACAGAAAGTGAGAAATCACCCACAAGGGGATAGCCTCACTGCAATCCCTTCTCCCTTTTCCTCAAGATTTTTGGCACACACACACACACCTGGCGTGAGTTTCAAGTCGCTGGGTCCAGGACTTAAACTGTGGTCAACTACATGGGAATCCAGCGCCTTAACCACTTTGCCACCTGCTGGCCCGACTTAGCTAGTTTCACAAACATAACCACAGGCATATTTTTGAAATAATGCCCCCAAAGCATGGATAGTAAGTTGGGGTACATCCACCAAAAAGAAAGTTGCACAGTCATTAATAAGGATGAGGCAGGGATGTGTTGATAGGAAAAGATCTTCAAGGCTGAATAAGTAAAAAAGCAAAATACAGGGTAGTATATATAATATGATCCCATTTATTTAAAAATAAAGATTACATATTTGCTTATAGAAGCGCAAAAACTTTCTGAAAATTACATTAAGAAATTGTTAGTAGAGGTTACCTTTGGAGAACAGTACTGGGGGGGTAAGATGTGAAGAGGCAGACTTCCTTTAAATCGTATAGCTTTATATACCATTTTGAATTTTTTACCATATGTAATTTTTAAAGTATAAAATCGAGGAGGGATCCTCTTACTCAAAGATTATGAACCATTCTTTTATGCACATTTCCTCAATATACACACATATATATATATTTTAATGTTTTCAAGGCAAGCTGATTTGAGGTACTTGCTGTTTTTGCAAATATATTTATAATAGTTACTAGTAAGGTCATACCCATTTGGCAGGTTTTTGGGGTTTTTAAATCACATATTGTTGTATTTTTAAAGATGACCGACCTTAACTTAAATGGGATTCTTGCCACAGATTTATTTTTTTAATTATGGAAGTAATACGATCACTGCAGAGAACTGAGAAAACACATGAGGGTACAAAAAGGGAAACTGAATCACATATAACCATTCTTACACTTATTCATGTTTTGGTCTGTTTTCTTCTTTCTTCACAAACCTATTAATACACAGTAGTAGCTATATACGATGCGTGTGTACAAGGCTGAGACCTCGCTGTGCCTGTGCTGTGTTCTGCTTCTTCCCCCAGCACGTAATGGGTGCATAAGAAACATGTTAAACCTAACTGCTGACTTAGTCTCATCAGAAATTACTTCTGCAGAGAGCATGTAGTTGGTTTCTAGTTCTTAAGTAAAGTAAATAACGCTTCATGAGTATACTTATATCTGAACTTTGTCTGCATTTATGACCATTCCTTAGGGGGAAAAATTGGATCAGAGTATAAATACTTTAAGTTTCTGATAAATGTTTTTCAGAAAGATTATACTCATTCTCACTCCTACCAAGAGTGTATCCGCTGCAGTGCTTCCTTGCCAACACTGACAATAACCATTTTTTAAGTCACTCCTATTTCATAGGTGAAAAACAGAAGGCTGACTGTGAGAAAAATCTTTCTCGCATTATGAATCAGAGTCGGTCTTCCTACATGTCATCCAGAGTGGTATCAGAACAAGGAGCTGTCAAACTTACTCCCACCCTCAAACATCTTTAGGGGATCCACTACCAAACCACATGGATCAAGTAGCATGCATGTCAGATAAAGACTCTTTCTAATTCTCCAGAATAACCAAATGACTAAAGATGCGTCTTTATTCTGTATGTCTTCTACACTGCAGGTACTTTGGGGCTCTGAAGTGTGACTACAGACAAGCCTTCTGTATAAAGGTGAGAGAACCAGGCTGTGGACTAGCAACTGTTCTACATGTGATAAGAACAAAGGCCATCAGGTCAAACATGGTGATACTTCACTGACAAGGGAGACGGTAACATCGCATCAATGTGTGTTCGAAAATTTCTTTCTTCAGTGATATATTTAAGGTAAGTGGTCGCTACTTCCCAAGACAGCTCCAGGGCAGTACTGGGGAAAAGTCAGACACATGACCTGTGCAATAAAAATATGCTAGCATAACAAAACTGAAAGCAAAAATAAGATCATTCCGATTTTTGGAAAAGATTTTTTATTTGGTATTTAGGTAAGATTAAAAACTACAAGATTTTGCTTGCAGCTGATGAGCAAAAAAGAGAAAGTTAAATAACAACTGTCATTTGATTGACTAGTTAAAATGCTCTGCCTCAAAGTCAAATTACTCAGTGACATACCAGTTACTTTGTGTGTGCTTGAGAATCTTGGCGCAAAATAGCTCTAAACAAAACGTGTCACCTGAGAGCACAGGCCTAACGGGATATGAAATACTGGATAAGAAGCTGACAGGGAGGCTGCAGCAGGCCTCTGATTCTTTTAGGGTTCTAACAGTTGGTTACCATATGCAGGGACCTAGCAGCCAGTTATTTTGTATCTTGGCTTTTCTGAGTTAAACAACTTTAATCCACACCCACTAAGCAGTAATAAAGAGACACTCTATAATCAGTTGGAAAACATAAAGCAGTCCCACTTCTCCAGAATTTTAGTTGAATTAAATCATAAGAGAAACAATGATTATTGCACATATTGTACTTGTCCCACTACATCTGTTGAGTAGAATTTCCATTCCAAGTGTTGTTTTCATCTTCACCATCATCTTGAGTCCTCAACCTATATATCTTCCCCTCCTTTTTAAAGTCTTCTCCGCGTTTTTCCAGCACTCTTTTTCTGACTGGTTCCCTGAAATAGCAAGAGGGAGAGAGGGAAGATGATATAAAGGTGTTTCCCTCTGGGACCAGCAGTTAGCGTAATGGCTATGTTACTGGACTCCCATGTAGTCGACCATGGTTCGAGTCCTGGACCCAGTGGCTTAAACTCATGCCGGTGCGTGTGCATGCATGTCCAAGATCCCAAGAGGAGAATGGAGGAGAAGGGATTGAGGAGTGACTATCCCCCCCCCTCGGGGGGATGATTTCTCGCTTTCTGTCTCTCTGTCTCTCTCTGTCTTTTGGGCAAGCAAAAACCTCAAAAAAAGGAAAGAAAAACAAAGAAAAACAAAGGTGTTTCCCTCAAACTGCCACCACGAGTATAGGCAATGATATTTTACTTTTAATTCTAGCTAAGATACAGAAAGTTGATGGGAGATAATTATATCTACTAATGAAATATAAGACTTTATCAGTCTTGGGTAGTTTAACTTCCTTGGTTGTCTAAGCCAAAGCAGCCCGATCCTATTTTGCATTTCCATGAATTCCCTGATGATATACTAGGCGTTAGCAGAGTGTGACCAGTTGGGAACTAATCTTTATAACTTGTGCAGGCTGATGCATCTACTGGCGTGTTCATAATTTACCTGTTTCAGAAATATGCTGGGCATGTATGCATGTATGCTGTATATCCTGAGAGGCGAATAGAGAAGGGCTTGTGGTGCAGCCGTCTCCCCTAGGGTATACGTTCTCACTTTCCCCATCTCCCTCCTTTCTCTCTCTGGTGACTGCATACACACTACAGCAAAATTGGAAAAAAAAAAGATATTGGGGTGGGGGTGGGGATTAAGGGAGCTAGCTCCTATGTGACTGACCAACCACAATATGAATCCTGACCCCTGTGGTTTGAAAAACATGCCATGTTCATGTGTGCCCAAAATCCCAACAGGATGGAAATGGAGAAGAGATTTTGTCTTGACCACAACCCAATAGGGGCTGCATTTTCCCTCTCTCTGGTGAGCATATGCACTGTCTCACAAATTAAAAAAAAAAAAAAAAAAAAATTATCTGTGGGGAGTAGCAGATGGTGTGGAGGTTGAGATACTGGATTCCCACATGGCCAACCACAGTTCAAGTCCCAGACCTAGCAGCTTGAAAAGCAGGCCAGGTGTATGTGAGGACATGCCCCCCTGCCTCTCCCAAGAAAAGGTGTTTATTGAGGCTGAGCACTGTGGCACATTGCTATAGACCTGGCTACCCCTGAAGGCTGAGGCAAGAGGATTGCAAGTTTGAGGTCGTCCTGAGCAACACAGTAAGATCCTGTCTCTAAGAGGGTGGGAAGCCAGGAGGTAGAGTAGTGTTTAGGGTGCTGGTCACCTACATCAGTTGGGTATTGGACCTGGCAGCTTGCTTTCTCAGTTTCTCTTTCTGCTGAGAGCACCTGCTCTATAGCAAATTAAAAAATAATAACAATACAGGCCAGCAGGTGGCACGCTGATTGGGATGCTGGACTCCCACATGGCTGATCACGGTTCAAGTCCTGGACCTGGCAGCTTGCTTTGTCACTTTCCTTTTCTATCTATCTCTACTCCAACAGATCATTAAAGAAAATGATCATAATAAATAAAATTAAATAAATAATTCTTTAACAAATTTTTAAAAGGGTGGAGTTGGGGGCAGCTGGGATGGCACAGTGGCAACACAACACTCTGCAATGCTGAATCCATACGGGAAGGTCTCAGGGTCAGGTTCTGAGGTGCATGTGCAATCCCAGCATATGAACATGCGCCTGTGATCTGGGGTGGCTGAAACTCAGGGAATAATGGCACAAAGATCCTTTTGTGGTTACCTGTTTCTCTCAAAATAAACTTAAAAAAAAAAAAAAAAGTTACTGGGCATTACTTACATATGTTGCAATTGAAAAAAACACAAATGTACCTTTTTTCCGATTTGTTAGATGATGCAGGGTTTGAGGATTCCGATGATGTTGCTAGCACTGAAGTCTGTGCGGGAGGAGGGTTACTAAATAAGAAATTGCTAATCAATCTCCAGATGGCAAGAAATGGGTAAAGTACTGTCCCCAATAATGTCCAAATGTCTCCACTGGAAGAATGTACGATGGATGTAGTTGGTCTTCCTGCCTAGAAATTACGAAATAAGAAAACCTACATAAAAACTGTCAACAAAATTACATTATACCCAAGGTTCTAGACAAACCTTTTATCTAGAAAAGGAGATCCTACTAATTTTAGTTATGACAGCAAAACCATCTTTTGGTGCTTTTCAAATGTATTTAAATTTCTGGGAACTCTGTTTTAGGAGTAATTATACTATGAAAACCAAAAAGCAATTCTTGTGAAATGAACTAGCAATTTTTTAAGAAAATTAAACTTTTGCAATGAATTTTTAACAATGTTGACATAAAGTCTTCCTTAATGATAAAAATATGTGAATTCAAGTGTTCCAAACCTTAGTAAACACAATGGAATCCTGACTATTGAGGGGTAATCATTTTAAATAGGGGACTATAGCTTAGAGAAGGGAAAAATACACTAGCCAGGATAAAGACGACCTGAGCTCTCATCCCAGCTCTGATACTTAACCTAAGACCTTGGCAGTCATTTAAGCTTTCTAAGCCTCTTTTCTTCCATAGATTACTGGGGCCAGCAGGTGGCATGGTGGTGAAGGAGCTGGATTCCCACATGGCTGACCACGGTTTGAGTCCTGGACCTGAAGACTTCCTTTCCTACTTTCCCTGTCTCCTCCCTTTCTCTGTCTCACTCTAGTCAAATTAAACAAATAATTATGATAATAAATGAAATGAAATCAAATAATTCCTTTAAAAAAATATTATAAGGATTGGGGACAGCAGGTGGCATGGTGATTAAGGGTGCTGGACTCCTACATGGCCAACCACGATTTGAGTCCTGAACCTGGTGGCTCGCTTTCTCACTTTCTCTCATTCTCTCTCTCTCTGGTCAAATTTAAATAAATAAATAAATGGATAAAGTTAAACATAATTAATTTTAAAAAGAAATATTATAAGGATCAAATGGGATACTAGATTTGAAAATGTTATTTTTGCGTTAAAATGAAATAATACACTTCTTGGGGCCAGCCAGTGGTGTGGTGGTTAAGGCACAGGATCACACATGGTTGACTAAGAGGAGTCCTGGACCTGGTGGCTTGAAAAACACACTGAGCATGTGTACATACATGTCCGAAATCCCAAGGAGAATGGAGAATAGATTGCAGAGTGGCTATCCCGACAGTGACTTCTCTCTTTCTTTCTTTCTCTAAGTCTCTCTGGTGAGTGAATGTACCCTCTAGCAAAAACAAAAACTAAGTAATATGTTTTTAAAAAGACTTTTTAAATGGGCCAGACAATGGCACAATGCTGAAATGTAATATTCTCCAAGGCAATCTCACATGAGAAGATTCCTGGTTCAAACCCAGAGACCTCCCTGAGTAAACTGAGCACATGTGTACCTATGACCTAAGGCTGGCGGAGGGCTGGGGGTGAATCATGATGCTGAGAACCTGCTGGGTGCCGTTCTGTGTCTGTCTGCCTGCCTCTGTCTCTCTCTCTCGGAAGAAATAAACTTAAAAAAAATTGGTAGACGATAGAGTTGTCTACAAATAAAAGACATTAAGTCTGTAGACTATAGACAGGCACTCTGCATTTCTTATTTTCTTCTCCTACTGGTCATCTTCCCTAATGATATACAAATATAGGTGAGGAAAAAGTTGAAAATTAAATTATTTAGTTCCTCACAAGCAATATTAATGATATAAATAAAGCACAGAATAACAGAACAGTACGTGATCTAATTTTTGGATAATTTGGATTTTAATTACCATAAAACACCTTTATCATTTATACTTCCCTCCCTTTAATGGTAAGAAATGATCCAGTCCCAGCTGTTCACTGGACACTGCTGCTTGGCAGGCTGAGCCAAATGCGAGCCTCAGGTTCACGCTATAAGCCAGGCATGGCAGCACATGGCAACAGTCCCAGCTACCAAGTGACTGAGGCAGGAGGACTGCAACATGGCAAGACCCTGACCAAAAATGCCACACAGACGAAAGTCATGATCAAGTGCAGAACAAACAGAAAACGCAAAGATTAGGGGGGAAAGAAAAAAAAAATATATATATATTTATGTATATACATACTGGTAAGAGTACCACTGAAGCACTTGGGGCAAGTTCCAAATCCAATAATTTCTTTTTATAATCTTCTTTGGTAAATTCCCTCCTGGGAAACATTGTTGCTAGCGAAAAGTTACCATAAGTGTTGCCAACAGTCTGTAACATAAGTTTAAAAACTTTACAAAGGTACCTTTAAAAAAACATTATATTACTCATATGCATCCAAAATTACTGCTTTAATTAAAATTCCCTTAATTTAGAAAGTTCATTTAAATGTAAACTAAAAGAACACTTAATAAAACTGCACCTCAAAAAAGTAGCTGAGAGACCAGTGGTTAGCGTAATGGCTGTCTCTGGACTCCCATGTAGTCCACTGTGGTTCAAATCCTGGACCCGGTGGCTTAAACTCATGCTGGGTGCGTGTGCATGCGTACCCAAGATCCCGAGAGGAGAATGGAGAAGGGATTGTGATGTGGCCATCCCCCCCGGGGCAGAGATTACTCGCTTTCTTTCTCTCTGTCTTTCTGGCAAGTACATGTGTCCTACAGCAAAAACCTCTCCAAAAAAGAAAAAAGTAGCTGAAAGCTATGAAGTGTTTTTTTTTTAAAGTTTCTGTATCTTGGCCCAGCCTTGGTAGCACAGGCATTAGCATACTAACTGTAATGCTGGAAATCACATGGCTGATCGTGGGTTCTGATCCTGAGCCAGCCTGAAAACATGCTAGACGCACACATGCATAGATCCTGATCAGCTGGAGGGTTAGGGAAGGGTGTCCTCCCCAACTCCTTCTTTCCCTCTCCCTTTCATTTTTCCTCCATATGCATGCACACATGTTCTCTCATGAATAAAATCAAATACATTTTTAAAAAAGACGCTTCTCTAACTAGTATTGTCCACAAACTAGTAAGAATAAAAGGGGATTTTGGGACCAGCAGAAGACGTAATGGTTACATCGCTGGACTCCCACAGGGTCGACTGTGGTTCGAGTCCCAGAACCAGTAGCTTAAAACTCATACTGGGTGCCTCTGAGTGCATGCCCAAGATCTCAAGAGGAGAACGTAGTAGTAGGGATTATGGCATGGCCATCCCTTCTGGGGGGTGATTTCTCGCTTTCTGTCTCTCTGTCTCTTTCTGTGCAGAGAGCTCATGCACCCTGTGGCAAAAATCTGTCAAAAATAAATAAATAAATAAAACAAGGGGATTTTAAGAAGTCTGGAGGGGCCTGTACAGTGGTAATGCAACATTCTGTAATGCTAGACCCATGTGGGAATTAGCACTGTGGATCCTGGGCATGCATTCATACACACTGAGTTTCAAGTCACTGGGTCTAGGACCCAAACCACATTCAGCCACATGTGAATTCAGCACCTTAAATAATATGTAACCTGCTGGCCCCCGAGGAAAAATTTTAAAGTTAGTTTTCACAAGGCCAGCCAAGTGACATGGTGGCTAAAAAGTCTGGATCCCACATGGGTGACTGTGTGGTTCAAGTTCTGGATTTGGTAGCTTGAAAAACACACCAGATACATGTTCCTATGTGCCTAAAATTCTGAAAGGAGAATGGGGAAGGGATTGGGCATGGCCACCCCGGGGGTGATTCCTAACTTCCCTGTTCCCTGGTCCTTTCCAGTGAACACACGCACCCTAGAGTAAATTTAAAATAAGTTTTTTTTTTTTTTTCATGTTGTGTGGTCCAGCTCACCGGCACAGGGATGCAGAGAGCTTTTGAAGTGTCTCTCTCTTGGAATTCATAAGTGAGGGAGAAGGGGAGATGGGGAGGAGCGGTCTGGTGGACAGATCTGAATCCAACATCCAAGTTCCTAATTTAACTTTAAAGTTAAAATACATATATATAAAATAAGCCTAGATCTTAAGGGAGATATAATGCCCAGAATCCATTCTGAAATTTTGAATAAAGAATTAAAGAATGGGGACCAGCAGTTAGCGTAATGGCTATGTTGCTGGACTCCCATGTAGTTGACTGCGGTTTGAGTCCCGGACCCAGCAGCTTAAACTCACGCTGGACGCGTGTGTGGGTGTGCCCAAGATCCCAAGAGGAGAATGGAGGAGAAGGGATTGCGGTGTGGCCATCCCCCCTGGGGGGGAAATTTCTCGCTTTCCATCTCTCTGTCTCTCTGACAATCTCTGTCTGTCTGGCGAGCACACGCGCCCTTAAAGCAAAAACCTCCCAAAAAAAAAAAAAAAAAAAGAATTAAAGAATGAAAACTAACTTAAGTCCTTATTTTCTTTTTTCTTTTGGAGAGGTTTTTGCTGCAGGGCGTGTACGCTCGCCAGAAAGACAGAGACAGAGAGATAGAAAGCGAGAAATTTCCCCCCCAGGGGGGATGGCCACACCGCAATCCCTTCTCCTCCATTCTCCTCTCGAGATCTTGGGCACGCACACACACACACACACACACACACACATCTGGCATGAATTTAAGTCACTAGATCTGGGACTTGAACTGCAGTCGACTACATGGGAGTTCAGCGACATAGCCATTACGTTAACTGCTGGTCCCTCAAGTCTTTATTTTCTAAGATGTAAAATTTCATACCCCATTCAGATGGTGAGTAAAGGCTACATTGTGGACATGAATTCCTGAAGAAGATTCTTGTCAGGTAAAGATTATTGATCTTTTGGCTTGGCCAACTGGTAGATGGTAGGGAAAAGACAACCCCTAAACAATCTTAAGAGAGAGGATCAAGAAAAACTGTTTCCTTTTCAGGACCGGGGGAGAATTTCTTCAGATTAGACCTTTAGGAAACTACTCCTTCAGCTGAATATTCTGGCAAGTGAGAACAGCTTCCATAGCCTACAGCATAAGATCAGCAAATTCCTGTTTTCGTGCAACAAACAAGTATGCTATTCACACACATACAATACATAACAAAGCTGCACTCTATCTCAGAGATGTCTCGTGTCCCCCTCCTGGAGTTAAACCATAATTTACTCACATTCTTCAAGTTCTGCTTAGGAAATTTCCCTTCCTACAATTAATAACCTATTAATCTATCTTTACTATAGCTCAAGACATAAACTTACCTGTGCTGCAAACTGCCTTGCTTCTTCTAGAGGAGCATCAGAAGGGAACTGGTTTGTAAAGGAAGAACCATCAGGAAGACGGAATTGAATTCTTGCAACAGTGCTAATAAAAAGAAAGTTAAAGGGACTAGCAGTTAGCATAATAGCTATGTCGCTGAACTCCCACGTAGTCGACCGCGGTTCGAGTCCTGGACCTGGTGGCTTAAATTCACACCGGGCGTGTGTGCTTATGTGCCCAAGATCCCAGGAGGAGAATGGAGAAGGGGTTGCAGCGTGGCCATCTCCCCTGGGGGATGATTTCTCGCTTTCTCTCTCTCTCTCTGTCTGGCAAGCGCACGCACCCTACAGCAAAAACTGCTCCAAAAAAAAAAGAAAAGAAAGTTAGTTAAAGTCAGTATCTTACCTCTATGCATTCTCAAACAATTATCATTTAAAAAATAATTGCTAGAGGGTGTATGCATTTGCCAGTGAGAGACAGAGGCATAGAGAGGAGGGCAGAAGGAGAAAGCACCCTACAATGGGGCAAGGTCATGCTGCAATCTCTTCTCCATTTCTCCACCCTCTTGGAATTTTAGGCACATATATATGTGTCTGGTGTTTCTCAAGCTTCTGGGGTCATGATCTGAAACATGTTGTCAGCTATGTGGGATCCAGATACTTTAGCCACGTGGCTATGGAGTCAGCCCAGGAGTTCTTTCTTCTTTTAAATTTATCCCAGAGTTCTGAGAGGGGAATGGAGGAAAGTGGACTGTAACATGGCCATCATCCTCCTTGGAGGGTGATTTCTCACTTTTTCTCTCTCTGTCTCTCCTGCAAGCACATGTGCCCTATGGCAAAACCTAAAATGATTTCATTGGCCTAGTCCAGTAGCCTAGTGGTAAAAGATCCTAGAGGCTGACTGAAAATGTGAATCCCTGACCCAGCAAAACACACCAGAGGTGTTTGCGTGTGTGCCCCAAATCTCAACAGGATACAGAAATGGAAAAGGGACTGTGGCATGACCATGCCCCACTGGGGTTAGGGGGATGCCCTCTGTCTCTTGTCTTTCCATCTCTCTGGCAATTACAAATTAAGAAATAGGGGCCAATAGGTGGTGGGGTGAGAAAGGGCCTGGACTCCCACATGAACAACTGCCATTCAAGTTCCTAATCTGGCAGCCTGAAATTCACACTAAGTGTATGTTTGTGCAAGTCCAAAATCTGAAGAGGAGAATGGAGGAAAGGGGACTGCAGCATGGCCACCACCCTCTCACCTTCCCCCTCTCTCAACTCTGACAAGCGAATGCACCCTATTGCAAAAACCTTTAAAAAAAGAAAAAAAGAAAAAGATACAGGGTCCAGCATGTAGCATGGTAGTTAAGGTGTTAGACTCCCACATGTCTAACCATGATTCAAGTCCTGGACCTGACAGATTGTTTTCTCAGTTTCCCTTTCTCTCTTTCTCTGTTCAAATTAAATAATGATGATCATGATAATAAAATAAAATAAAATTTTACTTATTCATTGATATATTTTTTTAAATTTGACTAGAGAGAGACAGAAAAAGGGAAAGTGAGAAAGCCAGCCACCAGGTCCAGGATTTGAACCATGGTCGGCCATGTGGGAGCGTCCAGTGCCTTAATCACCATGCCACCTGATGGTCCCAAATAAAATAATTATTTTATAATTACTTATTTATTTTTTAAGTTTATTCATTTATTTTATTTAGACCAGAGAGCGAGCGAGCGAGAGAGAGAGAGAGAGAAAGTGAGAAGGCAAGCCACCAGGCCCAGGACTAGAACCGTGGTCAGCCATGTGGGAGTGTCCAGCACCTTAACCACCACGCCAACCTGCTGGTCCCTAATTCATTCATTTATTTTAATTTGACCAGAGAGAGACATGAAGAGAGAGAAGGAAAGTGAAAAAGCAAGTCACCAGGTCCAGGACTTGAACCATAGTCAGCCATGTGGGAATATCCAGCACCTAACCACCATGCCACCTGCTGGCCCACCAAATAAAATAATTCTTAAAAAAAAAAAAAGACACAAAGAAAAATGTCTAGTGGTATCTATTTTTTTTTTGGAGAGATTTTCACTGTAGGGCGCGTGCGCTCGCCAGACAGACAGAGAGAGACACAGAGACAGAAAGCGAGAAATCACCCCCCAGGGGAGATGGCCACGCCGCAATCCCTTCTCCTCCATTCTCGGGATTTCTCACTTTCTATCTCTCTGCTAAGCACATACACCCTATAGCAAAATCTCTCTTAAAAAAAAAAATCCACCCTTGGGGGCCAGCCAGTGATATAGTGGTTAAGGTGACTGGATTTCACATAGCAAACTGAGTGGTTCAAGTTTCAGATCTGGTGGTTAAAAAAAAAAAGCCAGGTATACATGTATGTGTGCCCAAAATCCCTAAGGAGAGAAAGGAGAAAGGACTATAGTGTTGCCATATCCCCTGGTGGATGTTTCTCATTTTTGCCCTTCCTGGCAAGTGTACTTACCCTGAAACTAAAGTTAAAAGAAAGAAAGCAAGAAATCCAACCTTGTATTCCCAAATTTCAGAGCTAGTATATTCCTTCTTTTGCTTAATCTGATTTGATAAGAATACAGAGGAGATAATCACTGTAATCATTTTGATATATATGATTTCTGTCTTTCAAAACCATATTTCTTGGGCCTCTTTTAAAAGTCATTTAACACTGTTGGGACCAGCAGTTGGTGTAATGGCTATGTCACTGGATTCCCATGTAGCCAACAGCAGTTTGAGTCCCGGATCGGTGGCTTAAACTCACAATGAGCATATGTGCGTGCATGCCCATCCCCCCGGGGTGATTTCTCGCTTTCTGTCTCTCTGGTGAGCCCATGCACCCTATAGCAAAACCTCTCCAAAAAAAAAAAAAAAAAGGCATTTAACACGGTGACATTCAGTGATAAATATCATTGGCAACTGCCAAACTGGTCAGAATGTCCTGGAATCAACTGATCATCATCACAGTATACATCAGTGTTAAACACCAGCCCACATAACTGTTCTCCTCAGCACCCATGGGCACATGGATGTTCCAGCATGAAATACAATACCTTCTTTCTCTCGCGTAAGATTCCCTCTTGACTTCCATTTCTGCCTGCTTAGCCAGCAATGCAGCAGCCTTGGCAGCCTCTACTTCTTCCTTTGTCTTTGCGAAACGAGCAGCTCTCTCTGCACGGTCCTTTAAAACATTGGTAGATACCAATTACCATTCACAGAATGATCTCATCACACTTCAAACACAAGGAACGCACAAAAATATGCATGAAAGTTTGGATCTGGCATTTTTTGGTCTTATTAACTGTCAGGGATTATTAAGGAAAAAAGACATGAAGTTTGCTCACTACTGTTTCTTCAGATCCTAGAACAAGGTGTGGCACACAGTAGATGCTTGATTAATATTTGCTGAATAAACAAATGAACAAACAATATTAGGGTAGGAATGGTTTCCATATGCATTACAACTGCTTGATTCTAAAAGCGATTTTTATAAATTTAAGTCTTATTAAGATGTGTCTAAATCCTTTGAATGTCCCCCAAAAGAATGCTTCTGACAAGAGAAGAGTGTTAGGTAATAGATTCTTTGGTTTTCAATCTTTGAAGGCTGTCCTTTGACTACTGATGAAATCTATTACAAAACAAAACATGGGGGGGAACCAGCAGTTGGCGTAATGGCTATGTCGCTGGACTCCCACGTAGTCAACCGCGGTTCGTGTCCCGGACCCGGTGTGCGTGCGTGCCCAAGATCCCGAGAGGAGAATGGAGGAGAAGGGATTGCGGCGTGACCATCCCCCCTGGGGGGTGATTTCTCGCTTTCTGTCTCTATGTCTCTTTCTGTCTGTCTGGCGAGCGCACGTGCCCTACAGTGAAAATCTCTAAAAAAAAAAAAAAAACATGGGGGAAAAAAAATCACTTAAAAAAAGAACTTCTTGGGACCAGCAGGTATCATGGTGGTTAAGGCGCTGGATACTCCCACATGGCTGAACATGGTTCAAATCCCAGACCTGGTGGCTTGCTTTCTCACTTTCTCTTTCTCCCTTAATCGCTCTCGCTCTGTCCCTCTCTGGTCAAATTAAAATAAATAAGTAAAATTAAATACAATTTTTTCTTAAAAAATAAATAAATAAACTTAGACCAAGGTGTGATGACACACTCCATAATTCTAGCTACTGAGAAGACTGAGACAAGAGGATCATGAGTTCGAGGCCAGCCTAAGCAACAGAGACCCTATCTCAAAAAATAAAGGAAAATACACGTTAAGACTCACCAATGCGATCTGCTGTTTTATACGCTCTCGTGCAGCCCTATCTTCTGCCTTTTCTCTATTTCTTTCCTCTAACATTCTTTTTGTTAATTCTTCTTCTTGTTTCCTTTTATAATCCAACATTTCTTTTCCAGTTTTTCTCCTCTCAATTTCCTTCTTAATCTCTCTCTGAATTAAAGAAGAAGTTTTATGAATCAAAACAATATTTGAGAATCTGCC